TCTCCCACCTTCTAATGAGCTGTGAGGCTGCTTCTCCAGTCCAAGGGTTCTCAACCTTGTCACTATGGATATTTGGAGCCAGATGACATTTGCAGGGGCAGGGGGGGGGGCTTTCCTTCATGTCGTTGCATGTTTAGCAACATCCCCGGCCTCTACTCACTAGATGCTTGTGGCACCCCTTACTCCAGTTGGAACAATTAAAAAAAAAAAAGTTGTGGCTCCGTGGTAGAGCGCTTGCCTCTCACGTGTGAGGCACTGGATTCGATCCTCAGCACCACATAAAAATAAATAAAAACAAAATAAAAATATTGTGTCCAACTACAACTATATATATATATATATATATATCTCCAGATATTGCTAAATGTCTGGTGGGTAGAGGCCAAGTAACCTCTCTAGTCACTGCCCAAGGACTTTAAGAAGGTCAAGATCATGACTGATCCGGTGGGGAAAAAAAAGGTCTTCTGGTCCTCTCCTCCAACCCCGTCACACCTTTCTACACACTTTTTGAACACAATCGCTCACTTTTTTTTTTCTTTTTGCTATTTCTCATTTCTTAAATGTCCTAAGTGGTCCAGGGTGCGTTTGGTGTGATAATGAGCCAATTGACTTTATACTTTTTCCTAAGGAGAGTTCACGGGTTTGTGTACCCTAAGCAGCTAGTCGGGCTCTCCAGACGTTCCTCGCAGAGTCCAGGCTGGCCTAGAAGTCTGTATCTGCAGCCTGCAGGAGGCTCAGTGAGCACAAATTTGTCAGCACTCTTAAATCACTGGGCTCTGAGGAAGGCTTCTCCCAGCAGAAAGATCCTTCCTTAGGAATCAATAGCTCAGGGCCCTCCATCACATTCAGAATTATCCTGGGACCTGTAAAATTTCTTTTCCCCCCAAGCATGGCAGAACCCCAAAGTGAAAACCCTGAGATGGGAGAGGGAGGAAGGCTAGGAGGGAGCCCTGCCAAGAAGGCCTTGTCCGTCAGCCTAGATGTCGCTGTGAGCAGAGGCAGATGTGCAAACCTGGACACTTGGCCTCACTTGCAGGGGAAAAGAGGACTCTGTGTGGTTCCCAGTGATCCAGCAATAATCTCCCCTTCCAGCTGAATACCTCTTCACAGCTTCCCAAGGGCACAGGCACACGAGAGATCATCTCCCCTGGTCTTTGCTACCCACCCCTCATCACAGGGTCGCCAGCTTCACCACATAGCTGAGGAGAAAACTGAGGCAGGCAGGGGTCAAGTTCAAGGTCTCTAAGCCAGTAACTGGTGAGTCAGGTTCTAAGGTTCTGTCTTCACTATTAATAGTGAGAGCAGGTCAACCACCTAGTGAGGCTCATGAAAGGGACAACTTCTTGTTTGCTCAGCATCTAATGCCATTCTCAAACTCTGTACCCTGCCTCATTAAACAAACATCCAGAAAGTTTGCGCTTTACCTATATCATATGCAGTTATATTCCTCTGGCTCTACCCAGAACTAGAACCACTTCCCCAGCGAACGCAGGGAGCTGGCCAGGGTCTCAAGCATAGCTCTCAGAATTCCACTTAAGTAAAGGGCCACATTTGCCTCACCTCCCTCCTCTCCTGCCGATGAAGACCCTCTTGTCTGGGAGCCTGAGGGAGGAGAGCATCCTCAAGCATCTTCCCTGGCAACAGGCATCCCTTGGGTGAGTCTTAGGGATAGCAGAAAATTTTTACTCTCAGAATTCTGGCATGGCAACAGTGGGCTCCTCCTGAGGTTAGGACACCAAGTCTGCTAAGGCCCTGAGGGAACCCTGAAGAAGTCCATACAGCATACAAAGAAACTAGATGAGGAGAGGGAAACAGAGCGAGCAGCCCATGTGTCACTCAGCAAATCCGCTTCCCAGGGCCTTGCGCAGTGAGACTCACAGAATGGAAGAAAGGGCAATGGAAATGGTAGTATCTTCCAGGTCACCTAAGAAGCTTGAATAAGAGGATTTTGCAAAAATAGGACATCCTAGCACTCTGACCTTGAACTGGGAGCAGCAAGGATGGGGGAATTGGCAGATGCTCTTTGGAAACTGTCCAATTCATCCACGATCTGAGTTTGAGAGGTCCCACCAGGAGGGTGTGAAGCTAGGACAGAGAGGCTCCACTCCAGCATGTCTTAGCGAGGAAAGGAAGAGCGCCAGGCCTGGATTCCAAGACCATGGTGAGGACCTGGGTACTTCTGGTTCCTAAGTTCATGAATAGAAAGCTGGAGTTGCATGGCTTTTGCCTAGCAGCCCACTTGGAGTCATGAGATAAGATAGTGAAGGAAAGGGAAACAATACTTAGAGATTTCCATGACCAGTGCATATGCATTCTCAGAATCTTTATCTCCTCATTCTGGATATAGATTTAAAGGAAATTCCCCTAAATTTAATAGAGCTATTAATTTACCAAAGTCTGGTCAGTCAATAATTACCAGTGCTGATGGTAGAGAGAACATATGCTCATCTTCACACTAAAGAGGAAACGGGTCACTGGAGTGGAAAAAGCTACACATAAAGAATCAAAAATCCTAGGACCTAGTCCCAACTTTTCCACTGAACAATCATGTGACCTTGGGCAAGATACTTGCCTTTACTGGGCTTCACTTTGTCATTGGCAAATTAAGTGCATGCGTGAATTTTGGGGATAGGATGAGGCTGCACTAGACAATTCCCAAGGCTCCCTTCTTCTAGCTGATATTCTTGGGTTCTGTGAGTCCTCAAGGAAAAGGAGTTCAAAGAACACACCAGTGTCAAGTACAAAGGAATGATCTCAGAGAGCGGGTGGAGCTTCATACCAGCTTTGTCTCCTTGCAATGTAGTGTGAGCACGCACCTGTCCCATTGCACTTGAGGTCACAGGACCACCTGAAGTCCAGAGAGCATGTGGTGGAATGGCTCTAATTGTGTCAATGGCCACTGGTTGAGGGCTCAGGTCTGAGTTTGCTTAAAGCATTAACTTCCATGGCCAGTGAAGGGCAAGAAGTGAGAAAGTCAGTAGTCTTGAGCTAGGTACACTTGGTGCCCCCTACTGGACACCAGGAAACTTGCTTCACCTTTAAGCTCCCACCAACTGGGCAGGCAGCAAGGAAGCTTGAGAACCAACACTGGCTGTAATAAGATGTTTAATAGAACTATTTCCTTGGCTGGTGTCCCTCTCCCTATAAGAGTCTATGTTTCACTTCTTAGGATTAAACAGGCCATTGGTCCACACATTTACAGAGATACCCCTGTGCAGCCATAGGAAGCCCAAGGCAAACATCAAGGTGTAAAGGAATAAACTCAAGAGTTCAGAACACCAGGTGCAGCCCAGATGGAGAAAAAAGGAAGAAAGAGCAACAAACAGGTATTTCATTACACAAATCCCCACTGGAGAGAAGGTCTTGGGAAATGCAGCAGAAAAATGTTGACTTCAGGCAGGCAGAGGTTGGAGCTGGGGTTTGTGAATGAATTGCCAGCCCCCATAAAAGATTTCCAGGTGGAGGCAGCTATCACTGGAGTTTGAACTCAGCCCTATGTTCAGAGATGGCGTAAGGTGAAGGATACAGCCCCAACCATGCATCTATAGAGCAGGTAACCACCACCTACCTTGGACCTTCTCCAGAGTCCTTTAGGACCAACTGGAAACTGGACTATTCTAATTGTGGTCCTGTATACCAGCACCAAGACCCTAAACTCCCTTAAAAAGACTTTTAGGGCTCACTGTCAGAAGGATGTTCTTAATAAAGTCAGAAAGAGAGAAAACATTCCTCAAGGACCATATCAGAACAACCGCCATGTTCCCACTCTTCCATCCTCCACTTCTCCTTTCCCATGGCTGAGAGTGAGGTATGATATGACTGCCTGAATTAGCTCTAATTCAGTCCTGGGTATTTCCTGCCCCAAGTTATCAGGGTCCCAAATCTGCAATCCAGCTTTTTCTCTTCCCACATGAGTTCTCCCAGCACTCAAGACAGCACCACAGGAACAGTCCCCTACTCCTGGCACCCCCTTGCTTCTTTTCCACCTGGCTTCACTTGGGAACTCCTGCACCATCCCAGAAGGTACCTCAAGTGCGACTCAGGAATGTGTCCTGCCTGGAGAACTCAATCACCTCCTGGGACACACAGAAGGCATACTAGATGAACCCACTAGCAAAAGCAACAAGAAACATTAGTCATACACAGAAGAAGCCCCCACCCCCACCCCTAGGGAGGCTCGAATTCAGGCTGGGATGACTTTGGATTCTTGAGTTGGTTTCTGCAGAAGCGGGACTAACCAGGCTCCCAACTAATGTACTGCAAAGAAGCGCGCTGCATTGCTGGGCATGCCCCCAAGCCCGGCCTACGGCTCCATCAGAACCTCTGTGGGCTTCTACAGTGTCGAGGGGTTCGCCCGGTTCCTCTGGAATGTCTGAAGCAGGCTTGCCTGAGACAGCCTGAAACCGAGACCACACCTCGGTCCAGCAAAAGGCGGCTGGCAGCTACGCCGCGCGCGGGGCTCGCTCCTAGAGCTCTCTGCCACCCAGCGCTGTGCAGAGGAAAGAGCTCGGCTTCCCCGGGGAGGGAGAGCCAGTCCCAGGGGCTCTTGTCCAGCTCCGATGACCCCTCCCCAAGCGTAGACACTGAGCTAAGACCAGTAGCCTCCCCGGCCCGGCCGAAGCTGAGCCTGGCTGGCTGGGTGACTCCGGATACCCCTTGCACAGCCTTCCTCACCTGCTCCGCCCCCTCCCAGTCCCCGTGCCCCCTCCCCAAACACCTGACCTCCAGTGCGCCCCGACACCTTCTCTGCCAGCTGCAGTCTGTCGCCCCTACACCCCAGCTCCCACCTCCTAGACCCCGGCCAGCGGGGGAGGCTCTGCGCGCCAAGAGTCCAGCGCCTCTTGGCAAGTTGGGAGCAAAACCACCGCCTTCGCGATCTCGGTCTTGCCAGGTTCCCAGCGGCATTCCAGCCACCCCCGAGAGCGGATGGGAACCCGCGCGTAGAGCTGGCGAAACTTTCTCCGCCTGAGGGGGTGGGGGCTCTGGGAGTGGGTACTCACGCCGGGGTCAGCGCAGGGAGTCATCCTCGGGCTCTCTCAGCCCCTCCGCCTGGGGGCGTCGGAGCGCGGGCGCTCGCTGCCGCCTTTGCCGCCGCCGCCGGCGCCGCTGCCGCCTTGCAGCTCCCAGCCCCGGTC